AAATTTATTTACAAAACTAAATTATTTTGCTTTTTAAAAAACAATTATTCAGTTCATAAAAATTAACCAAAACACAAACCCTATCAAAGTTTATTACAATAATCTTTCTTAGAATCAATAGCATTAAAAAAAACTATTAAATGAATACTTTAATGCAAAACTACAATGTAAAAATAGTAACTTAAATTAATTCTAGTGACTAGAATAAAAGCAGATAAATACTGTTATTCAAAGGGAAAAAAAACACTTGAACAAAAGGTATAGCATGTGTAAAGCAGGAAATTTAAATAACAGTTTAGTTCCTCATTGCCAACATGGTATTTATATCCCAGATGAGATTTCGTAATTGATCCATAATTTGCTTCAGCTGTTGATTCTTCTGTTTGAGTTTCTGTAGAAAGAATTTACCAAAAAATGTTTCATGAAATACAGACCATGAAGTTACAAGATTAAAATGTCAGAAGTTAGGACTCTATAAAGAGCCAGACAGAAATTAAGCTAAATATTCCCTTAAGACAGACAGCCTCAACCCTTCCCTGGCCTCAATTTACTTAAAGAATACTGAATTCTAATTCAGCCCTCAGAGGGCTATGGCTCTATATTTCAGTTCCCCTTTACACCTCCACTTCCATCAACCCATCTAAGAAAATAAAATATTTAATTGTTATAAAACCTAAGTATATAGGTTTTCCAAGAGATAAGGTCACAAAATGTTCAAGAGCACACATTATCTGGGTTTATACATAGCTCCTTCACTAAGTAAATGTATAACCTTGGCCAAATTACTTAACCTCCCTGTGCCTCAGTTTTCACATCAGAAAAATGGGGATAATAAATGACCCTACCTCATAAAGTTATGAGGATTAAATGGTTTGATACACATAAAGTGTTACAACAGTGCCTGGCATATATTTAGCATTCAACAAGTTTTTTTGGTGTAGGTACAGAGCATAAACTGTCAATATAAAATATGAAGTATAATAAAAATGCAATGCCTGATATAGTTGGTCATTCAAAAATATAGCATATATGTCCGTAGCATGAAGTGTGATCTACTTCTAATTCTGAAAACAGAAGACAAAATGGTATGGTACCCAGCATAATCATCTTCAAAACTAAGATCTGCTGAATGCCCTGAATACACACAGCCCATTCCTCTATGTCTCTATAAGCAATCTGGGTTTCTACTAGACTTTTTTTTTTTTTAACGCATCCTTTCTTCAAGTCCTATGTAGCAAAAGTCTGCTTAGGTAAAACAACATAAATTAAAACAATAAAAATTAAGAACTCCTAGTCAATGTGTTTACTAATTACTGTAATTATCATAATAATTATTAAAAAGCCTTTTAGAAACATTACAATTGGAAATGATAAAAGATACTATATTAAAACACCTCCAGATAAATTAGTATATGTTTATTGTAAAGAGGCCTAACATTTTTAATTTTATTAAAAAGCTAACTAAGATTAAGGAAGTTGCTTTTATTATCTCTGTCTAGAGGCAGAGAAGTAATAGCAAGTAGGTAGCTAAAAGGGAAGACCGACAAATTGTTATCAAAATATAAGAAGGTAACGTGCAGAGACTTTAATAACCTCAATTACATTTAATTCATACTTGAAAAGAGAATTAGCACAACACAGTACAGTACACAGGGCTTTACGCTAAAGCTCATTTTAACAGTCTTTGGGAAAATGACGCTGTTAGTATTTTAGTTACTCAGTCTCCTCGTTCAGTTTTCAGATGACCCATTTTCTGAGTTCTGCCATCATAAGTATGTGGCACTTAGTTATTGAAGTGGCTGTGTATATTATCTTGACAAAATGGACCCAAAAAATTGGGTGAAATGAAGAATGACTGGAAGATCAGTACTAAGCCTATTAAAGTCTTTCTGATCCTAAAAACCAAGACAATGACACTTCTGCCTGCAAGCAAGAATAGAAGCAAACAGTTACAAATAGAAAAGCTGCTATATTGGAAGGCTGGAAACCTGAGTTCCAGTACTAACTGTGTCTCTAACTTGCTGTGTGATCTTAGACAAATTCCTTACGTTTGGTTTCCTCCTCTAGGAGATATGATTATATAATCTATAAGGGCCCTGCCAGTTCTGCTTTCTATACATGCATACATAACCTGACAATCAGTTCATGCAGACACATGTGACTGAAATCCAGTAAGTTTACTTAGTGAACTAACTCATGGCTTCAGAATGGTTCAAATTGGCCACCCTCTACCACTACTGAAGTCTACAGCCTGCCAGAGATACATCACTCTGCTCGCTACGCAAGACTTTAGCTGCCACGATTCCCCTCTCAATTTTAATTTTTCAGGAGGGTGTGGAGAAAAGCTACTGGGTGAGAATAAAAGGAAGAGAAATAATGTGAGCTGATTTTTTCTTAAAACACCTTATTTACATTTGTAAATTCTGACAGGAGTTGACTCCTTTGAATATGATCACGTTCAAAAGTTTCAGAACTTCTCTTTGGAATGGAATTCTCAGTTTGTAACACATTCCGTTCCACAAATATTTACCGAGTGTGTATTATGCGCCAGGCAATGGGCTAGGCATTGTAAGGGAAGAAAAGAGAATAAGCAACAGTCCTTGCCTTGTAAAAAATTCAACATCAAGTAGGAGCAAGACAGTGCCCAAATGACTAGAATACAACCTGATAAGGCAGATGGCAGAGGAAAAACACAAGATGCTGTGGGACTGCAAAAGATGGAGAGATTGCCACTGACTGACAAGATCAGGAAACAAGGAAAATATTTTTGCTTTGGGTCTAGAAAAGTTGGTGACGAGCAAACCACCAAGCAGAAGGATAAATCTGGGGTTGAAAGCGGGTCACAGAGACCCATAAAAGTTCTTGAGGGGAAGAAATATGATTTAAATTGCAATGAAGAAGGCAAATGTGTGGGTTGGATTCTCCTAAATATCTTCAATAGTGACAAACCTCTGTCCATGAAAAAGAAGAGGATGGAGTTTAAGTATGGAAACAGCTGAAAACCATTCAAATGCTTTATCTGGTGAATAAACGCAGGGATCACGTTTTCGGTAAAAATCAATGAGTTACTACAAGTAATAAAATTATATTCTTGGGTGGTTTAAAAATCTTTAAAATCAATATCAAAATGGGATGCAGAGGGCTCCTACAATGGTTGCATCAATGGAATAAATGTGAAGCCTGACAACAAGATACTTTCAAGAATAATACTCATTTGGAAATATAAATTGTGATATACTATGTTGTTGCTGTTGTTCAGGTGCTGTCGGAGTTGTTTGACTCACAGAGATCCTATGTGACAGAGGAGAACTGCCCCATAAGGTTTTCTTGTCTAATCTTTATGGAAGCAGATCACCAGGTCTTTTTCCCACAGAGCTGCTGGGTGGGTTTGAACTTCCAGCCTTTTGGTTAGCAGCCAAGCACTTAATGGGTGTGCCCCCAGGGCTCCTAACTTGTTTTAAAAAATTAGCCTTGTTAATTGTTAAAAAAAATAAAGTAAGCGAACCAAAAAAATGTGGAGTATTTTCAAGGAACTATTCAACTCTAGACAGCAGGAAAATATTTTTTAAAAGTACAGGTACTTTTATAGTTTTTCTCCAAGTAAGATGCACAAAAGTTTTAATGTAAAAAAAAAAAATAAAGCATAGAAGTAAAATACCTAGAGACAAAACATGCCATGAAACTATCAACAGCAAAGATGCTGACAGGCTTGTTAGTGATTAGACTGTAAATAAATTTATTAAAATATACAATCATGCCACCGATTGATTTTAACAGAGGTTGACAGCTGCTATTTTCAAAATCCATCAGCTGTGCCTAATTTGTTACATTAACAGGTGAATGTGTAAGTAGAGTAGATAGTTAAAAAACATGTTTATGCTAAGTCACACCATGGAATTTAATATTCATACAAGCTGTGACACATAATCACAATGCTTTAAGTTCTAAATGCCTGGACTCAACAGTAGGTCAACCCTGTACAGCCATACAGCGGTTCCTATTCCAGCTTAACAACAACAGAATAGCTTCAAGCAAAATAAACTCATTCTGATGTCCCTAAAGCACAAAGTCTCAAACCAGTATTCATTCTTTGAGTATTAGGGCTTATGGATTCTAGGATATTTGAAGAGAAAATGAAAAGTATTTAAATGGGCCAAAAATCTTGACTATTAAAGCTAAGCCATTTTGTCATCTAATAATTTACATCAAATACTGACTACACAGTTAAGCACACCAAAGTTTCACAGCATTATAGTCGGTGATATATACATTATTAGAAACCAGAGAGACCACATACACTAAATGGTAAAACACCATCAATATATTGTTCTGTACAATTTCAAGTACACAATGATAACAGTAATATTTTGAAAATGAATGAGTGAGGGTCAGCTGAGGGGTACATAAAGCTACTTACTTTATGTAGGTTATTTAGAATAAAAGAATATGCATTGTAATAAAATTCTGGATATTTTTAATTGACATGAAACGAATATAATTTTATTACTGAATATATAGATCTATAAAGCAACATAATCACTTAATACAAGTGGCGACTGTATTAAAATATAGTCCAGTATTTTTATTTTTGTTACTATCCATCAGACATGAAATGGGTACATGAAATGGGCGTTGCTTTGCTTTCATTGTTTTTACTGTTGTAATGTGCTGTCGAGTTGATTTTGACTCATAGCGACCCCATGTGACAAGAGCAGAAGCTTGTTCTTCTCTCTCTCTCTTGTTTTGGTTAAATGTAGACTTTCAGTATTAAAAAAAATATAAAAGACATGGCTATTATTAAAAATTATTCATTTTCATATGATAGGTCAGAAGAAGTCTGAATGTATTACTGTTACTAGTAAGATCACTGTGAACCTTAAACTCTACTACAACCTAACAACTGTATTAATTGAGGGGGGGGAAACATACTTGCCTAAGGGAAAATGCATTGGTTAAAATCACAGACAAAAGACTAAAATTTAAGTTTATGAATATAAATAGTTGACAAATTAATTAAAATCAATCAACTTAAACCTTTTATTTTCTAACAGCATTCATGAGCATAAATAATTATATTAGGGCAATATCTTATTCTATAGGCAACTATTTAAAATAAACGTTTTTCATAGAAACACCCTTAGGTGTGTGTGCCACTAAGGCCAAAAATATATCAACTGATTATCAGCTTACCCAATTTTTAAAACAAATTCAGTCATATATTTTAATCTTATATTTTAGAAGGGAAGTACAGAGTTCAAAGAAGTTAGAGGAAAAGAATAAGTAAAATTAGAAGTGGTAATTATACGTAAGATTACTTTGTTAACAATCAGAATATATGCTACATTTAATTCAAGTTTATATAGTTTTATTTAAGGAATGAGTTAAAACTCCTTTGGGTCAAAACCCCACTCCGTTTGCTTTGTAGCTGCTAATTTTACTCTCTTCTGCCTTCTTTTTTTGGGGGGATTTCAATTTGAGTTAACCAAGTCTTGGCCCTCTCCAATCTTTGACCTCTGCTCACCACTTTCCAGTTCTTTCTCAAAATATAGGAAGAGGAATTCCCAGGTAGGAAGTAAAAGAATGCTGTGAAGCCATCAAATGAGTACTTTCCCTGCCACTTAAGATACTTTCCTTCAAAATGCTCTTTTAAAATATAATTCCAACAGAAATATAGGGCTTAGCTTTGAATCTGTTTATTTTGAAACATCTAAACTGATTCTCTCCTCTTTATAATAACCTTCAGGTGGACAGCATGTTAACTAAAACATGGTTTACCCCAAAGTTAAAAGCATTGAGAAGAGCAAATTCAACAGATCCAAGTGTTTTAATCAGAGAAACAGTTCTCGAATATCTGAAGTATACACGGGAAAACAAAATGTGAAATACTCTTATTCCGTAAATAGGCAAACTTTCAGAAATATTGTATAATATTGTCTATCTATTTGCTGTATTGAGATACAACCTATTTCAGATAAACACTTGAATTAAATACACGTGAAAATCTCCTGCTCAAAATCCTAATTAAGAGCCAGGAAAGGAATAAAAAAAATCTATAAACCCATGTGGAAAAGGAGAATCAGAGGCGACAACAGCAGATGAACGGTGGTGAATTTTAAGAGGAAGAACAGAGAGGGGAGTTGTAAATGGCTTGGCAGAGAAGAAGAAACTACAACCCTGCC